CAGAAACACATAAAATCATACACTATGACCAGGTAGGCTTCATCCCAGAGATGCAGGGATGGTTTAACACATGTAAAGCAATAAATCTAATCCAACACATCAACAGATCCAAGATCAAGAACCACATGATTATCTCCATTGATGTTAAAAGCTTTGGAGAAAATAGGAATAGAAGGAACATTCCTAAAAACAATAAAAGCCATATACAACAGGCCCATAGCCAATATTATACTTAATGGGAAAAGCTACAACCAATTCTCCTAAAATCAGGAACAAGGCAAGGATGCCCACTGTCTCCACTCCTCTTCAATATAGTCCTGGAACCCTTACCCAGGGCAATAAGGCAAGAAAAAGACATTAAAGGGATCTGCATAGGGAAGGAAGAAGTTAAACTATCCCTTTTTGCAGATGTCATGATACTATATCTTCATGATCCCAAAAACTCCATCCCCAAACTCTTAGAAATCATAAATCACTTCAGCAAAGTAGGAGGATACAAAATCAACCCACAAAAATCAGTCACCTTCCTATACACTGACAGTGTACAAGAAGAGAGGGAAATAAAGGAAGCAAACCCATTCACAATAACTTCCCCCCAAAATAAAATATTTAGGAATTAACCTAACCAAAGATATAACAGAACTATTTAATGAAAACTATAAAAACTTAAAGAAATTGCAGAGGACACCAGGAAATGGAAAGACCTTCCATGCTCTTGGATAGGCAGACTTAATATAGTGAAAATGGCCATATTGCCAAAATTAATATACAAATTCAATGCAATTCTATTAAAATCCCAATGATGTTCATCACTGAAATACAGAAAACAGTCCAAAAATTCATATGGAACAACAAAAGACCTAGAAGAGCCAAAACAATTCTAGGAAAAAAAGACAACATGGGAGGATCTCGATGCCGTACTTCAAATTCTACTATAAAGCCATAATAACAAAGACAGCATGGCACTGGCACAAAAACAGACCTGAAGACCAATGGAATAGAATAGAAGATCCAGAAATAAATCCACATACCTACAGTCAGCTGATATTTGACAAAGGAGCCAAAGACATACAGTGGAAGAAACACAGCCTCTTCAACCACTGGTGCTGGGAAAACTGGGCGGCCACATGCAGAAGACTAAAAGTGGACCCCAGACTATCACCATGCACCAACATCAACTCAAAATAATTAAAGACCTTAACATTAAACCTGAATCTCTGAAACTACTGCAGGACAGAGTAGGAGAGACACTTGACCTTATAGGCACAGGAAGGAACTTCCTGAACAGAGTCCCAAGGTCACAACAAATCAGAGAGAGACTCGACAAATGGGACTACCTTAAAATAAAAAGCTTCTGCACAGCTAAAGCAATCACAACCAAGCTAGAAAGATAATCAAGTAACTGGGAAAATATATTTACCAGCAATATATCAGACAAGGGATTAATATCCAGTATTTACAGGGAACTCAAGAAACTAATCCCTCCCAAACCTAACAAACCAATTACTAAATGGGCAAGGGAACTAAAGAAAGGCTTCTCAGATGAAGAGATAAAAATGGCAAAGGAACACATGAGGAAATGATTACCATTCCTGATTGTAAAGGAAATGCAAATAAAGACAACCCTGAGATACCACCTTACCCCAGTCAGAATGGCCCACATCCACAAGTCAGCCAACAACAAATCCTGAAGGGGATGCGGAGAAAGAGGAACCCTATTACA